CTCTTGGTCCACGAGGTCAATTTCCATCTATATCTTTAACGTTGTTATCATGTCTCCGCATTTCTTCTCTCATCCTTCTTTACTCTTGGTGTGACAGTCCCCTCAGTTCTGGGACCAGTCTTGTCGCATCTTGCTCAAATTTATCTCGTATTTCATTTTTTTTTTTTGGTAGGGGCTTATAAAGACCTGGGCTGCATATTAAAGTGTTGGTCTTACATAGGTTTTATATGATGTTTTGAGGGTCTCTTTATACCAGGACAGTACTCGTGTGCCCCAGGTGGCTGTCATCCAGCACCGCCCAGGTGGTCTAAATTCTCCCCCTCCTGGTCTCATTACTCTGCATTTGTCCACGTTGAAGTCTAGTAACCATTTTTCTGACAATTGCCGAATTAGTCCGACTTCCTCGGTCAGGTCATCCAGCTGAATGTGGCCCAGTACCGAACTGTGGTATATACCACATACCACTTGTTATATCTCGTTACTTTGATTACTCCCTTTTATCACCATTACCCTCAGTTTCCTGCCCGATGGGTATTCCCTCACCCACTCTGGTACATTCCCAGCTTTGATCCCAAGATTATATAGGAGTCTTGTGTGTGGGACTGAATCAGACGCTTTCTGGTAATCAAGGACAACTCAGGCAACCCCTCTCTCTCTCTCTCTCTCTCTCTCTCTCTCTCTCTCTCTCTCTCTCTCTCTCTCTCTCTCTCTCTCTCTCTCTCTCTCTCTCTCTCTCCCTCTCTGTCTCCCTCCCTCTCTTCTCTCTCCCTCTCTCTCCTCTCTCTCTCCCTCTCTCTCCCTCTCTCTCCCTCTCTCTCCCTCTCTCTCCCTCTCTCTCCCTCTCTCTCTCTCTCTCTCTCTCTCTCTCTCTCTCTCTCTCTCTCTCTCTCTCTCTCTCTCTCTCTCTCTCTCTCTCTCTCTCTCTCTCTCCCTCTCTCTCTCCTCTCTCTCTCTCTCTCTCTCTCTCTCTCTCTCTCTCTCTCTCTCTCTCTCTCTCTCTCTCTCTCTCTCTCTCTCTCTCTCTCTCTCTCTCTCTCTCCCTCTCTCTCTCCCTCTCTCTCTCTCTCTCTCTCTCTCTCTCTCTCTCTCTCTCTCTCTCTCTCTCTCTTTCTCTCTCTCTCCCTCTGATTTCATTGCTGTCATTTGCTCTAAGAACTCTAATTGATTTGTTAGACGTGACTCAAACTGAATCAATGTTGGGGACCGAGAGATACAGCCCGGTTTATTGTCTTAGTGGTCGACGAGCCGCGTCATGGGGAGTCTGTTGAGGACCTTGCTGGACCTTGATGGACCTTGCTGGACCTTGCAGGACCTTGCTGGACCTAGCAGGACCTTGCAGTACCTAGCAGGACCTTGCTGGACCTAGCAGGACCTTACAGGACCTTGCAAGACTTTGCAGGACCTTGCTGGACCTAGCAGGACCTTGCAGGACCTAGCAGGACCTTGCAGGACCTAGCAGGACCTTGCAGGACCTTGCAAGACCTTGCAGGACCTTGCTGGACCTAGCAGGACCTTGCAGGACCTAGCAGGACCTTACAGGACCTTGCAAGACCTTGCAGGACCTTGCTGGACCTAGCAGGACCTTGCAGGACCTAGCAGGACCTTGCAGGACCTAGCAGGACCTTGCAGGACCTTGCAAGACCTTGCAGGACCTTGCAAGACCTTGCAGGACCTTGCTGGACCTAGCAGGACCTTGCAGGACCTAGCAGGACCTTGCTGGACCTTGCAGGACCTTGCTGGACCTAGCAGGACCTTGCAAGACCTTGCAGGACCTTGCTGGACCTAGCAGGACCTTGCAGGACCTAGCAGGACCTTGCTGGACCTTGCAGGACCTTACAGGACCTTGCAAGACCTTGCAGGACCTTGCTGGACCTAGCAGGACCTTGCAGGACCTAGCAGGACCTTGCTGGACCTAGCAAGACCTTACAGGACCTTGCAAGACCTTGCAGGACCTTGCTGGACCTAGCAGGACCTTGCAGGACCTTGCATGACCTTGCAGGACCTTGCAGGACCTTGCAGGACCTTGCAGGACCTTGCAGGACCTTGCAAGACCTTGCAGGACCTTGCTGGACCTAGCAGGACCTTGCAGGACCTTGCTGGACCTTGCTGGACCTTGCAGGACCTTGCAGGACCTTGCTGGACCTTGCAGGACCTTGCAAGACCTTGCAGGACCTAGCAGGACCTAGCAGGACCTTGCTGGACCTTGCTGGACCTTGCAAGACCTTGCAGGACCTTGCAGGACCTAGCAGGACCTTGCTGGACCTAGCAGGACCTTGCAGGACCTTGCAGGACCTTGCAGGACCTTGCAGGACCTTGCAGGACCTTGCTGGACCTTGCAGGACCTTGCAAGACCTTGCAGGACCTAGCAGGACCTTGCTGGACCTAGCAGGACCTTACAGGACCTTGCAAGACCTTGCAGGACCTTGCTGGACCTAGCAGGACCTTGCAGGACCTTGCTGGACCTTGCTGGACCTTGCAGGACCTTGCAGGACCTTGCAGGACCTTGCAGGACCTTGCAGGACCTTGCAAGACCTTGCAGGACCTTGCTGGACCTAGCAGGACCTTGCAGGACCTAGCAGGACCTTACAGGACCTTGCAAGACCTTGCAGGACCTTGCTGGACCTAGCAGGACCTTGCAGGACCTAGCAGGACCTTGCAGGACCTAGCAGGACCTTGCAGGACCTTGCAAGACCTTGCAGGACCTTGCAAGACCTTGCAGGACCTTGCTGGACCTAGCAGGACCTTGCAGGACCTAGCAGGACCTTGCTGGACCTTGCAGGACCTTGCTGGACCTAGCAGGACCTTGCAAGACCTTGCAGGACCTTGCTGGACCTAGCAGGACCTTGCAGGACCTAGCAGGACCTTGCTGGACCTTGCAGGACCTTACAGGACCTTGCAAGACCTTGCAGGACCTTGCTGGACCTAGCAGGACCTTGCAGGACCTAGCAGGACCTTGCTGGACCTAGCAAGACCTTACAGGACCTTGCAAGACCTTGCAGGACCTTGCTGGACCTAGCAGGACCTTGCTGGACCTTGCAGGACCTTGCAGGACCTTGCAGGACCTTGCAGGACCTTGCAGGACCTTGCAGGACCTTGCAAGACCTTGCAGGACCTTGCTGGACCTAGCAGGACCTTGCTGGACCTTGCTGGACCTTGCAGGACCTTGCAGGACCTTGCTGGACCTTGCAGGACCTTGCAAGACCTTGCAGGACCTAGCAGGACCTAGCAGGACCTTGCTGGACCTTGCTGGACCTTGCAAGACCTTGCAGGACCTTGCAGGACCTAGCAGGACCTTGCTGGACCTAGCAGGACCTTGCAGGACCTTGCAGGACCTTGCAGGACCTCGCAGGACCTTGCAGGACCTTGCTGGACCTTGCAGGACCTTGCAAGACCTTGCAGGACCTAGCAGGACCTTGCTGGACCTAGCAGGACCTTACAGGACCTTGCAAGACCTTGCAGGACCTTGCAGGACCTTGCAGGACCTTGCAGGACCTTGCATGACCTTGCAGGACCTTGCAGGACCTTGCAGGACCTTGCAGGACCTTGCAGGACCTTGCAGGACCTTGCAAGACCTTGCAGGACCTTGCAGGACCTTGCAGGACCTTGCAGGACCTTGCAGGACCTTGCAGGACCTTGCAGGACCTTGCAGGACCTTGCAGGACCTTGCAAGACCTTGCAGGACCTTGCAGGACCGTGCAGGACCTAGAAGGACCTTGCAGGACCTTGCAAGACCTTGCAGGACCTTACAAGACCTTGCAGGACCTTGCATGACCTTGCAGGACCGTGCAGGACCTTGCAGGACCTTGCAGGACCGTGCAGGACCTTGCAGGACCTTGCAGGACCTTGCAGGACCGTGCAGGACCTTGCAGGACGTTGCTGGACCTGCAGAAGCTGCTGTCTTCTCCCTCATATGCAGCGACGTTCCTGCCAGGGAGCCGGTCGGCTGAGCGGACAGCACGCTGGACTTGTGATCCTGTGGTCCTGGGTTCGATCCCAGGCGCCGGCGAGAAACAATGGGCAGAGTTTCTATCACCCTATGCCCCTGTTACCTAGCAGTAAAATAGGTACCTGGGAGTTAGTCAGCTGTCACGGGCTGCTTCCTGAGGGTGGAGGCCTGGTCGAGGACCGGGCCGCGGGGACACTAAAAAGCCCCGAAATCATCTCAAGATAACCCTCAAGATAGACCACGTGACTTGCTGGCCATAACTAAGGTGGTTCATTGGTGGAAGGTGGAGAGGTGGAGACTTTTGGAAGGGCCTCGTTCAGTGCGGCTGTTGCCTCCTCCTATCCTCCTCCACGTGCCTCGAGCCTCACCTCCTACAGTTCGATCCCACTGAAGGATACACAGATGTTGGCCAGGATGCCATTCACAGCTGTTGTTATTCTGTTGCTGTGGGGCTTCTGGCGTCACATTTGGGGTTATGTCCACTCCCAGCTGTTTCTCCTCTTCTGATTGTAGAATCTGTTGTTGTTGTTAAAGATTTAGCTACTCAGGACGAGGTGTCCATGTAGCACGGGCTATGGTGAGCCCGTAATTGAGTTTGGTTATACATGATAACCTTTTTCCTGTGATTTGAAGAATCTGTCTTCCCTTCATCCTATACTGCTGTGCTGGTCTTCCCACTCCTGCTCCGGTACTCATAACTTTGCATTTGGCTGGGTTAAACTCTAGCAACCATTTTGAGACTAGTTTTAGAGTGTGTCGAGAGTCGGTGTCTCTGTCCTGACTCTTCTGAATAGCTTTTGCATTATTAACTTCCCCAACCCCCCCTTAACGCTTCATGCAGGTCGGCGTTCAATCCCCGACCGGGCAAATGGTTGGGCACCATTCCTTTCCCGCCGTCCCATCCCTAATCCTTATCCTGACCCCCTTCCCAGTGCTATATAGTCGTATTTGCTTGGCGGTTTTTCCCTGATAATTCCCTCCCCCCCCCACCCTCTCTCCTCCCCCCTCCCACCCCCTCCCCCCCTCCTCCCCCCCACCCCCCACCCCACCCCACCTTGGAAGCTGAACCACAGGTTGACGAGGAAGGGATGCTTGAGCGACGCCAAGATCTCTATCTCCCTGAAGACGTTGCTGAGAGCGTCTCGCGCCTCACACTGGCTCTTGTTCATGTATTTCATCGCGAACATCTGCTTGGTGTCCTGCTTCTGCACGATGCACACCTGTAGGGGAGAGAGAGAGGGGTCAGTGCTGGTGTGTGGGGGGGTGATGGAGTGTAGGTACACACCTGTGGGAGAGGGAGAGAGAGAGAGAGACAGAGTGTCACTACGGGTGTGTGTGGGGAGGGAAGGGTAGGGAGTGTAAGAGAGGGATGTAGAGGGATGATGGGGGGTATTAGGGAGGAGGAGGGAAGGTAGGTGTGTAGGGGGGGTAGGTAGGTTTGGGGCGGGGGGGAAGGTAGGTGTGTGTGGGGGGGGCGGGTACCCCCAACCGTTGCAGAACCTTTTCATGGATATTTTTCAGCTTCAGTGATTGAAGTTGTCAGAGCAACATTTTGCACAACATGTCAAACGTCAACAAAATGTTGGAATTGTTGACGAGGTCTCCGTCTGCTCTGTCAACCCTCGCCAGAGCCAGTTTGGCACTTTTCCTTATTTAGGTTCATGCAAGCTTTAAAAAAGGGTCTATTTCCGTTATATATCTATCTATCTATCTATCTAATCTATCTATAGAGAGATTCCAAATGATGTCAAATGGTAGAGGGGGTGTGGGGGAGGAGAATCTATCTACCTTATCTACCTTATCTATCTACATCTGTCCAGGGGTTGGGGGGAGGGTGTTAGTCTGGAGTGCTGAAGAGGTTTGGATCGAGTTTGAGTGGTTGGAAATCCAGTCCTGAGTCTAACTTTAGGTTAGACTGGATTCCCAGATCAGTGGTCACTATATACTGTGCTATAAGTCTATATTGGGGCTGTGAAATAGTATTGACCCACAGTGCTTGTAGCCAGATGAATGCTTTTTATTATTATTATTAGTATTATCTCTCTCTCTCTCTCTCTCTCTCTCTCTCTCTCTCTCTCTCTCTCTCTCTCTCTCTCTCTCTCTCTCTCTCTCTCTCTCTCTCTCTCTCTCCTCTCTCTCTCTCTCTCTCTCTCTCTCTCTCTCTCTCTCTCTCTCTCTCTCTCTCTCTCTCTCTCTCTCTCTCTCTCTCTCGCTCTCTCTCTGACCTCTAACTCAATCAAACAATTCGAACGTCGAACCCTGGAACTCTCCAAGTGTAATTCAGAACAACTGCCCAACAAGCCACGGTCTCCTTGTCCTCTGTGAGTAATTATACCCCCCGTTATATCACTGCTCTATTGCACTAATATATAATTTTATTCTTTGTTTTGGATTTCTTTTGTTTATTATTATTGTTGAAATAGTATTGAAATATATATATATATATATATATATATATATATATATATATATATATATATATATATATATATATATATATATATATATATATATATATATATATATATATATATATATATATATATGTATATGTGGAAATAGTATAACACTAAGGATAGATTTCCTTAGTGTACCACTGTACCTTGTCTGCCCCTAGTATACCAGTGTACACCCCCCTAGGCCATTAGTATACCGGTATACTTCAATTATCTTTGTTGCATAGAGAGGCGGGCAGGCGGGCCAGTTCTCTCCTCCTCAAGTTGTAAATTCATTTGTGAAGTCCTGGAGTGCCAGCCCTCAAGGGCCAGGCCTCAAGGACCATCCCTCAAGGGCCAGCCCTCAAGGACCAGGTCATGGCCTTGATGGGAATAGCCTCGGTCTGGGCACCGGTCCACAGTGCCCAAGCCTCGGTCTGGGCACCGGACCACAGTGCCCAAGCCTCGGTCTGGGCACCGGACCACAGTGCCCAAGCCTCGGTCTGGGCACCGGACCACAGTGCCCAAGCCTCGGTCTGGGCACCGGACCACAGTGCCCAAGCCTCGGTCTGGGCACCGGTCCACAGTGCCCAAGCCTCGGTCTGGGCACCGGACCACAGTGCCCAAGCCTCGGTCTGGGCACCGGACCACAGTGCCCAAGAACCCAGCTGAAGAACGCCCACCTCCAGACTGACTGATGAGGCGTCGTGATTGGGTGGCTTGTTGAGGGGCGGGAGGTGACGTGATTGGCTGGCATGTTGTCAGCGGAACTCTCGGGATTGGTGGATATGTTGGAGGCGGCGCTTAGATTTAAAGTACCTAGAAGTAATCTTGAGAAGTGTTAAGTAAGTTGTTGATCGGTCTGTGGGGGAGTGTGGGAGAGTGTGGGGGAGTGTGGGAGAGTGTGGGAGAGTGTGGGAGAGTGTGGGAGAGTGTGGGAGAGTGTGGGAGAGTGTGGGAGAGTGTGGGAGAGTGTGGGGGAGTGTGGGAGAGTGTGGGGGAGTGTGGGAGAGTGTGGGGGAGTGTGGGAGAGTGTGGGGGAGTGTGGGAGAGTGTGGGAGAGTGTGGGGAGAGTGTGGGAGAGTGTGGGAGAGTGTGGGAGAGTGTGGGAGAGTGTGGGAGAGTGTGGGAGAGTGTGGGAGAGTGTGGGAGAGTGTGGGAGAGTGTGGGGGAGTGTGGGAGAGTGTGGGAGAGTGTGGGAGAGTGTGGGAGAGTGTGGGGGAGTGTGGGAGAGTGTGGGAGAGTGTGGGGGAGTGTGGGAGAGTGTGGGGGAGTGGGGGAGAGTGTGGGAGAGTGTGGGGGAGTGTGGGGGAGAGTGTGGGGAGAGTGTGGGAGAGTGTGGGAGAGTGTGGGAGAGTGTGGGAGAGTGTGGGGAGTGTGGGAGAGTGTGGGAGAGTGTGGGAGAGTGTGGGAGAGTGTGGGAGAGTGTGGGAGAGTGTGGGAGAGTGTGGGAGAGTGTGGGGAGAGTGTGGGGGAGTGTGGGAGAGTGTGGGAGAGTGTGGGAGAGTGTGGGAGAGTGTGGGAGAGTGTGGGAGAGTGTGGGGGAGTGTGGGAGAGTGTGGGAGAGTGTGGGGGAGTGTGGGGGAGTGTGGGAGAGTGTGGGGGGAGTGTGGGGGAGAGTGTGGGGAGTGTGGGGGAGTGTGGGGGAGTGTGGGGAGTGTGGGGGAGTGTGGGGGAGTGTGGGGGAGTGTGGGAGAGTGTGGGGGAGTGTGGGAGAGTGTGGGAGAGTGTGGGGGAGTGTGGGAGAGTGTGGGAGAGTGTGGGGGAGTGTGGGAGAGTGTGGGGGAGTGTGGGGGAGTGTTGGAGAGTGTGGGGGAGTGTGGGGGAGTGTGGGAGAGTGTGGGAGAGTGTGGGGGAGTGTGGGAGAGTGTGGGGAGTGTGGGAGAGTGTGGGAGAGTGTGGGGGAGTGTGGGAGAGTGTGGGAGAGTGTGGGAGAGTGTGGGGAGTGTGGGGGAGTGTGGGAGAGTGTGGGGGAGTGTGGGAGAGTGTGGGAGAGTGTGGGGGAGTGTGGGAGAGTGTGGGGGAGTGTGGGAGAGTGTGGGAGAGTGTGGGGAGAGAGTGTGGGAGAGTGTGGGAGAGTGTGGGAGAGTGTGGGAGAGTGTGGGGGAGTGTGGGAGAGTGTGGGGGAGTGTGGGAGAGTGTGGGAGAGTGTGGGAGAGTGTGGGAGAGTGTGGGAGAGTGTGGGAGAGTGTGGGAGAGTGTGGGAGAGTGTGGGGGAGTGTGGGAGAGTGTGGGAGAGTGTGGGAGAGTGTGGGAGAGTGGGGAGAGTGTGGGAGAGTGTGGGAGAGTGTGGGAGAGTGTGGGAGAGTGTGGGAGAGTGTGGGAGAGTGTGGGAGAGTGTGGGGGAGTGTGGGAGAGTGTGGGAGAGTGTGGGGGAGTGTGGGAGAGTGTGGGAGAGTGTGGGAGAGTGTGGGAGAGTGTGGGAGAGTGTGGGAGAGTGGGAGAGTGTGGGAGAGTGTGGGAGAGTGTGGGAGAGTGTGGGAGAGTGTGGGAGAGTGTGGGGGAGTGTGGGAGAGTGTGGGAGAGTGTGGGAGAGTGTGGGAGAGTGTGGGAGAGTGTGGGGGGAGTGTGGGAGAGTGTGGGAGAGTGTGGGAGAGTGTGGGAGAGTGTGGGAGAGTGTGGGAGAGTGTGGGAGAGTGTGGGAGAGTGTGGGAGAGTGTGGGAGAGTGTGGGAGAGTGTGGGGGAGTGTGGGAGAGTGTGGGAGAGTGTGGGAGAGTGTGGGAGAGTGTGGGGGAGTGTGGAGAGTGTGGGGGAGTGTGGGAGAGTGTGGGAGAGTGTGGGAGAGTGTGGGAGAGTGTGGGAGAGTGTGGGAGAGTGTGGGAGAGTGTGGGAGAGTGTGGGGGAGTGTGGGAGAGTGTGGGAGAGTGTGGGAGAGTGTGGGGGAGTGTGGGAGAGTGTGGGGGAGTGTGGGGGAGTGTGGGAGAGTGTGGGAGAGTGTGGGAGAGAGTTGGGGAGTGTGGAGACTGGTTTTTGGAGTTATTTTGCTAGTGCCTTCTTTTGGGCCTCTGAGTCTGCTCATAAACTACAGTTGCAATAATGTACCACTGTACCACTGTACCACTGTACCATTGTACCACTTTACCATTGTGCACCATCCGGCCTGCACCAAGCCAGCCCGGTACGTGACAGAGAGACAGCGGGTCGTCCAATAAGCCTATATTAGAGCCGGCCTTTGAACCAATAGGGCTGCCAGTTCATATGTGTGTGTCGGGCTCAAGCCGGATGTAAACAATGGCGACAATATCAATATATCTGGTTTGAGGGAACAAAGCACCCTTGCCTGCTTGGGGTGGGGGTGTGGGTTTTTTTTTGGGGGGGAGGGATAGAGGAGGGGTGTCCTTGGGAGGGGGGGAGGGGGGTTATTCAGTAATTCATTGTTTCTTTCTCTCTTTTTTCTCTCTCTCTCTCTCTCTCTCTCTCTCTCTCTCTCTCTCTCTCTCTCTCTCTCTCTCTCTCTCTCTCTGCCCCGTATTTTCTCATTTCAGACCTCGGCAACTTTCAGACCAATCTAACTTATATCATTATAAATGAGCTTTTGGTTATTGTACCAATTTCTCTGTCTCTCTCTCGCTCTCTCTCTCTTTTTCCCCACATTCTCCCTCTCTACCCTTCTTCTCTCCCACCCTATTTCCCTCTTCCTCCTCACCCACCCCCTCGTCCCCATCTCCCTTCTTTCCCCTCACTTTCCTCCCTGTTTAGCCTCCAGCCTCCAATAAGTCATGTTCATTTACATCTATATCTGTATATAAAAGGGGACCCGGTGGTGTCCGGGTCTGTGTCTCTTCTCCCCCCCACTTCCCTTGCCCACTCCGCTCTTTCCTCCCCTCCCCTCTCCCCCTCTTCCCCTTCTGCCACCCCTTCTCCCCTCATCTTCCCCCTGCCCCCTCTTAACTACTCGCTATTTTCATCAGTGCAACCTGAATGAATTGGGTTTATTATTTCCGAGTGAACCATGAAGATGTGGCGGAAACTCTACGGAAAATAAACTCGCGATTTCATTTCAGACTTCATGAAAATTGCGCTACAGCTTAGGATTAGTACAAGACAGGTATAGTACACCAGGATTATGTACTGATGTACATACGCTGGTATATGCGTCTGGTACTCCACACTATTACCGTAACAAAGTGAGGGGTGAGGCTTCAAATCAACCTGCCTTATTCTTGTTCATGTATGTATACTTGGTGCACTAAGTAATTCATTACAACAGGCCAGCCTACCCGGTTTCATTGTTGAATGTTCCGAAACCTCGACAGCACTTGCGAAGACATGGATAAAGTTAACTTTCATTATGACATAAAATGTTTATAATGCGTGTTCCTTAACAGCCCTGTTTGTTTATATGTATACAACCTACTGTACCCCTACTGTAGTTCAAATCGCACGTTGTTGGTCTGACACGAGAGCTGTACCAGACGCAGCCTACAAGCACGAACCTGTAACAACGTTCTAGGTCCCTGTACTTGTTGGTTGTCTGGGTCTCCCTGAAGGTGGCTGCCCCGCCTCCCTCAGCTGTGCTGTAAGGTAGATAGGTATCAGTCAATGTAGATGCACAGGTGTAGTCCCACACGACCTGTTTACCTTCCCTCCACGGCTGCAGGGTGACTCCGTCTGGGCCTTTGTGACTGTTGTCAGGTCTGCACAACTGAGGTTCCCTTTGTGCTGGACACCCAGCTGAAGCCAAACTTCTCTTGATGATGTCATTGACTGCTTCATGTCTGGCAATCTTTCCCTGTGTCTTACGACAGATGAAACCATGGCTGCCGTATTGGTCTGCCCGTGCATGGCCGCAAATACACCGGTGCTCGGTGGAGATAGGGGCGGCAAGGCGCAGAGCAACACCAATACTTAGGGTCCGATGGTCCAGGCGGGTGCCCAAGGAGGAATTAAGGACTGCCAACAGGAAGTCTTTACTCACCTAGTTGTGCTTGCGGGGGTTGAGCTCTGGCTCTTTGGTCCCGCCTCTCAACTGTCAATCAACTGGTGTACAGGTTCCTGAGCCTACTGGGCTCTATCATATCTACACTTGAAGCTGTGTATGGAGTCAGCCTCCACCACATCACTTCCTAATGCATTCCATTTGTCTACTACTCTGACACTGAAAAAAATCTTTCTAACGTCTCTATGGCTCATTTGGGCACTCAATTTCCACCTGTGTCCCCTAGTGCGTGTGCCCCTTGTGGTAAATAATCTGTCTTTATCTACCCTATCAATTCCTCTGAGAATCTTGTATGTGGTGATCATGTCCCCTCTAACTCTTCTGTCTCCCAGTGACGTGAGGTTTAATTCCCGTAGTCTCTCCTCGTAGCTCATACCCTTCAGTTCGGGTACTAGTCTGGTGGCAAACCTTTGAACCTTTTCCAGTTTAGTCTTATGCTTGACTAGATATGGACTCCATGCTGGGGCCGCATACTCCAGGATTGGTCTGACATATGTGGTATACAAAGTTCTGAAAGATTCCTTACACAAGTTTCTAAAGGCCGTTCTTATGTTAGCCAACCTGGCATATGCTGCTGATGTTATCCTCTTGATATGAGCTTCAGGGAACAGGTCTGGCGTGATATCAACCCTAAGTCTTTCTCTTTCTCTGACTCTTGAAGTATTTCATCTCCCAAACGATACCTTGTATCTGGTCTCCTGCTCCCTACATCTATCTTCATTACATTGCATTTGCTTGGGTTAAACTCTAACAACCACTTGTTCGATCATTCCTGCAGCTTGTCCAGGTCTTCTTGAAGCCTCAAGCTGTCCTCCTCTGTCTTAATCCTTCTCATAATTTTGGCGTCGCCAGCAAACATTGAGAGGAATGAGTCTATACCCTCCGGGAGATCATTTACGTATATCAGAAACAGGATAGGACTGAGTACAGAGCCCTGTGGGACTCCACTGGTGACTTCACGCCACTCTGAGGTCTCACCCCTCACTGTAACTCTCTGGTTCCTATTGCTCAGGTACTCCCTTATCCACTGGAGCACCTTACCAGCTACACCTGCCTGTCTCTCCAGCTTATGTCCCAGCCTCTTATGGGGTATTGTGTCAAAGACTTTCCGACAGTCCAAAAAATGCAATCCGCCCAGCCCTCTCTTTCTTGCTTAATCTTTGTCACCTGGCCGTAGAATTCTATTAAGCCAGTCAGGCAAGATTTACCCTCCCTGAACCCATGTTGGCGATTTGTCACGAAGTCCCTTCTCTCCAGATGTGTTACCAGGTTTTTTCTCACGATCTTCTCCATCACCTTGCATGGTATACAAGTTAAGGACACTGGCCTGTAGTTCCGTGCCTCTTGTCTGTCGCCCTTTTTGTATATTGGGACCATCACTGGTGAGGTCAAGTATATACACCTTGAGAAGGTTTATATACAAACCTCCTCAAGGTGTGTATACTTGATCTTCTCAAGGTGTGTATACTTGACCTTCTCAAGGTGTGTATACTTGATCGTCTCAAGGTGTGTATACTTGATCTTCTCAAGGTGTGTATACATGATCTTCTCAAGGTGTGTATACATGATCTTCTCAAGGTGTGTATACTTGATCTTCTCAAGGTGTGTATACTTGATCTTCTCAAGTATACAAACCTTTTTCATGAGCAGGTTTGTGAGTCTTCTCGCTCAGCTGTTAACTGCATCGTCTGACAGCCTTCGCGAAGAGTCTTTGATGTCTTCCTGGACACTTTCTACGGTTTTGTGGAGCCGTTGATAAAGATCACACACAGAGATCACACTAACGTGATGCATCAAATGAGCAAATCCACAAGGGCCGTGACCCTGTCGTAGCTCAGTCGATTAAGGCAGTGTCTGGGATGCTCCCGGACGCAGGTACGAATCCTCGTCATGGCCCTTGTGGGTTTGTTCGTTGATAAAGATGTTCTTGTAGAGGAGCTCTAAAGACGTGGAACCACTTATGGAGTGCTGGCTGTTCCATCACAGGTAGAATGATCGTTCACCTTCATTGTATTGACCTCTTCGACGTATATCAGTTAGAGTGTCTCCGTCGTGTAGTGGTAAGACACTCGCCTGGCGTTCCGCGAGCGCTATATCATGGGTTCGTATCCTGGCCGGGGAGGATTTACTGGGCGCAATTCCTTAACTGTAGCCTCTGTTTAACTCAACAGTAAAATGTGTACTTGGATGAAAAAACGATTCTTCGCGGCGGGGATCGTATTCCAGGGACCTGCCCGAAACGCTACGCGTACTAGTGGCTGTACAAGAATGTAACAACTCTTGTATATATCTCAATCTCAAAAGTGTTCAGTCTTGGCCAGGACCTGCCTTACTTCACGGGGTGTCTCGTCAACCAGCTGGCTGTTGGAGCTGTGTGTTGATAACACGCGTGACAGCAACACTCCATGTTGTCACTACACCTGTCACTGGGTGACAGTCTCGACACTTGTAAGGTAATGATGAGGAGAAAGGGAAGCAAGAGGACCACCTTGAGGTTACCTTGAGGTGCTTCCGGGGCTTAGCGTCCCCGCGGCCCGGTCGTCGACCAGGCCTCCATCTACCTCCGACCAGGAGACATCTACACAATAAGGGAATGACAGCTACAGTAATTGATTTGGGAGATTTGGGAGTGGGTAGAATTCCAACACTAACACCAGGGGGGCACACACAAACAGGATGACATCGGCAGCATGTGAGACGCTGGCAAACATTAGAACATCATTTAGAAACCTAAATCAGGTCTCCTTTAAATCAATCTACACAGCATATGTTAGACCAATACTGGAATATGCAGCACGGGCATGGAATCCGTACCTTGTGAAGCATAACGACAAAACTGGTGAAGTTCAGAGCTTTTCGGCAAGAATGGTGCCAGAGATAAGAGGGTTAAGCTATGAGGACAGAATATTGGAGCTAGATCTCACAACCCAAGAGAATAGAAGAAACAGAGGAGATATGATCACAACATACAAGATAATAAGGAAATAAACAAGGGGGACAAACAACAATCTCTATAAATTGAGTGAAAGTTGGTCGAGAGGATTTAAGTGGAAGATGAAAACACAAATGAGTCGAAGGAATGCCAGGAAATACTCGTACCCGGTACTGTTGGTCAAGTGGAATGCACTCAAAGAACAAGTCATAGAAACCACCTCCATCCACAACTATAAAGCCAGAATGGAGAAGCAATTGCGAACATTAGGATACATCAATTATAATACAATAAGTGCAACAAGGCTATTAAGTTGGGCCTAAAGAGCTAGACCTCACCTCCCAAAGACTCTGATAGGTAATCTGTGATAGGTAAGTACCCCCCCCCACCCCTCCCCCCCCTCTACAAACGTAGTTAACACAGACGCTACTGAACGTACCTTTCCGAAACTGCCCTTCCCAATCGCTCGAAGAACTTGGAAGTGGTCGAAACCAACTGAAAAGAGAGAGAAGGTCACTGTTAAATGTTTATCTTGTATTATCCAGGTAAATAGCGTTGTGTTTACTTACACTTCAATGTAAACATTACCTATGGTGTGCTTCTAATTACTGGCTAATTAGGCCTTTATTTACATAAATAAATGATTTGGCTTTTTTGAATTCAAAATTAGGAGTTAATTGAGCATTTGTGACAGCTAATTTGGTGAGCTTTGGTGGCAATATTATTTATGCTGGTCTCCGGTTAACTAATTATCATTATTATTATTATTATTATTATTATTATTATTATTATTATTATTATTATTATTATTATTATTATTATTATTATTATTATTTTGATAGGACAGAGTTTGTGGCTCCAGGGAGCCGGTCGGCCGAGCGGACAGCACACTGGACTTGTGATCCTGTGGTCCCGGGTTCGATCCCGGGCGCCGGCGAGAAACAATGGGCAGAGTTTCTTTCACCCTATGCCCCTGTTACCTAGCAGTAAAATGGGTACCTGGGTGTTAGTCAGCTGTCACGGGCTGCTTCCTGGGGGTGGAGGCCTGGTTGAGGACCGGGCCGCGGGGACACTAAATCCCCGAAATCATCTCAAGATAACCATCTCAAGATTGCTTACACTTCATGTCTCTCCCTCTACACTATTACCTTCCGTCTCCCTTCTCCCCCCCGACCCTTCCTCCCTCTCCTCTGCCCCCCCTTCCCTCATCCCCTCCCTCCCCCTTACACCCTCCACAACCCCCACTACACCCCCCCTCCCTCATCCCCTCCCTCCCCCTTACACCCCATACACCCTCCACAACCCCCACTACACCCCCCTCCCTCATCCCCTCCCTCCCCCTTACACCCCATACACCCTCTACAACCCCCACTACACCCCCCTCCCTCCCCCTTACACCCCATACACCCTCCACAACCCCCACTACACCCCCCACCCTCTTCACCCTTACCTCTGAACACTCAACAAAATTGACGGTAAAAAACACTTGGTAACTATATTAAAAGTCGATCACAACCCAGCGAAGAGCCGATGGGTCGTGGTTTGTGTGTTGTGATGTGTTGTGTTGTGCAGGGTTGTGATGTGTTGTGATGTGTTGTGATGTGCAGGGTTGTGATGTGTTGTCCAGTGTTGTGATGTGCAGGGTTGTGATGTGTTGTGTTGTGCAGGGTTGTGTTGTCCAGTGTTGTGATGTGTTGTGTTGTGCAGGGTTGTGATGTCCAGTGTTGTGATGTGTTGTGATGTGCAGGGTTATGATGTGTTGTGATGTGCAGGGTTGTGATGTCCAGTGTTGTGATGTGTTGTGATGTGCAGGGTTGTGATGTCCAGTGTTGTGATGTGTTGTGATGTGCAGGGTTGTGATGTGTTGTGATGTGCAGGGTTGTGATGTGTTGTGTTGTGCAGGGTTGTGATGTCCAGTGTTCTGATGTGTTGTGATGTGCAGGGTTGTGATGTGTTGTGATGTGCAGGGTTGTGATGTGTTGTGATGTGCAGGGTTGTGATGTCTAGTATTGTGATGTGTTGTGATGTGCAGGGTTGTGATGTGTTGTGATGTGCAGGGTTGTGATGTGTTGTGATGTGCAGGGTTGTGATGTGTTGTGATGTGCAGGGTTGTGATGTCCAGTGTTGTGATGTGCAGGGTTGTGATGTCCAGTGTTGTGATGTCCAGTGTTGTGTTGTCTAGTGTTGTGATGTCCAGTGTTGTGATGTCCAGTGTTGTGATGTCCAGGGTTGTGATGTCCAGTGTTGTGATGTGCAGGGTTGTGATGTCCAGTGTTGTGATGTCCAGTGTTGTGATGTCCAGGGTTGTGATGTCCAGTGTTGTGATGTGCAGAGTTGTGATGTCCAGTGTTGTGATGTCCAGTGTTGTGATGTCCAGTGTTGTGATGTCCAGTGTTGTGATGTCCAGTGTTGTGATGTCCTGTGTTGTGATGTCCAGTGTTGTGATGTCCAGTGTTGTGATGTCCTGTGTTGTGATGTCCAGTGTTGTGATGTCCTGTGTTGTGATGTCCAGTGTTGTGATGTGTTGTGATGTCCAGTGTTGTGATGTCCTGTGTTGTTATGTCCTGTGTTGTTATGTCCTGTGTTGTGATCTGCAGTGTTGTGTTGTATAGTGTACCAATGTTGTGATGTGTTGCTTTATGTTGTGCTGTTGTGTGCAATTTATGTGGAGCTCCACATACTTGCCACATCCCTTCTGTGGAACACACACACAGACCAGCCACATCCCTTCTGTGGAACACACACACTCAGACCAGACACATCCCTTCTGTGGAACACACACACACACACACAGACCAGACACATCCCTTCTGTGGAACACACACACACACACACAAATCCCTTCTGTGGAACACACACACACACACACAGACCAGACACATCCCTTCTGTGGAACACACACACACACACACACACACAAATCCCTTCTGTGGAACACACACACACACACACAGACCAGACACATCCCTTCTGTGGAACACACACTCAGACCAGCCACATCCCTTCTGTTTAACACACACGCAGACCAGCCAAATCCCTTCTGTGGTAGCCACAGAAGGGATGGTAGCCACATCCTTCCTATGGTAGCAAGCCTCTGGCGTGCACGGTACTGGGGGCCAAGAACATTAACTTTACCTCTCACAGGAATTCTAAATTAGTGGCGGGAGCTCCAGTAGAGATCTAATTTGGGTGCTGTAGATTGGCCCACATCTCTCAGCATCTACTTCGTAGATCCCCCCCCCCCCCCCCCCCACCCCCTACCCCCCTCGTAGACATGATAATTTCCTAGTGCATTTGGCTGCAATATTTCTCAAATATTTCTTGAAGAGTAAATTGTCATTCATTTTCAACCCTCTTAAAATAGTAATTGACAGGTTCTATGTACCAGTACTTTTTTTGACGGGGTTGGGGGGGGGGGCTCAGCCTATTGACAGGACTGTCTATTTCGTTGTTCCGGGAGACAGACGTCTGGGGGGTGGTTTTGTCTGAGGCGACAGTACCTTACCTCACCGTCTAATTCTCCCCGCGATAAAATGGTTATCCTGGGGAAGGATAGCGATCTAATTCTGGGAATTAGGATTAAGGTAGTTATTCTAGGATAATGTCACGCGCCGCTCACCTTGGCCTTGTGTTACATGATGTTACAGTTAAAACAGCGGAGGATGGTGCTACTGATCCTATAACTTCACGCCGTGGGACTTCGCCGCCTCCACTAGGGTATCACACATCACCCCCAAGGAGCTCTCCTAGTCATGTCTCAAGACCGGCCACTACTATTTGACCTTAGACCCAAAGGGGAGAGGAGAAGGCCCAGCCTACACTGCTAAGCTCAATCCTGCAGCATGTGACTCCCCCCAGCGGGCCTGCTTATCTATGCACGCAGAGAATTTGCCGGACTTCCGGCCGTAGTCTCACTTCCTCCTCTTATCTTCTGGTCGCCAGCTGGGTAATTCTCTCAGCGTCCCAGCAACGCCGTGAGTTCGAATGTAATATATTTACAGCAGCCTAGGACTGTACTATGTGCTGCCAGTACTAGAATTCAAATGTACAGTCGTGTTGCCATCTCAGGGTCACTCTCTAGGGAATGCCAGTACCAGTGTTGAAGTCTAGTGTCGTGTTGCCAACACAGGGTCTCTCTCTATGTCATGTCAGTAACAGTACAGTATAATCATATGTCATTTATCACAAAGCTCAACGAGATGGAGGGTACACCAAAAGCAGTGATAAAATAATAAAAAGTTTACTCAAACTACAACACACGAGATACATGTATGGACTTATGGAGATAATTATAATAATGGTGACAGCAGCACTCCTCTGGTGGCATCCGGCAGCTCACATCAGTTGATGAATTAAAGGGGTCACCGCCCCCCCTTACTGGGGCGGCTCCTTCAGCGTCGTGCCTCAGTCCTTCACGAGCCTACCACACGCTGTGTTCACCAATCAGTAGGATGATATATATACGTGCTGTCCCACAGCCTAATCTACTCCTATGACTTATATGCACTCTAATAAATGCCTATGCATCACAATAGACCTATCTTGCCTAACAACCAAGGGAAATATGGGAGGGAAAAATGATCTACCTTAACATATCCTGTCCTCAGACGCCTATAGGCTCCAGTCGCCGTTCGCTGGATACTCCGTTCCTCACGTCGTTCCTCAACGTTCCATAGGCGTCGTGAAGATCCTCGTCAGCTCCGTGCTCATTCCCTGGGTGAAGTTCCTGGGCGTTGGCTCGTCCAGTCGTCACTGCACACGTCGTGCCCTCGAGCACTCCTTCACCTAGACCACACTCAAGGATCAGGATGCATCTCCTCCCTTCTGAGTTCCTAGTGGGCGTGATCCAATCACAACAGCTCTGAATGCTGTGGAGTTCCACTGACGGCGAGTCACTCACTCCTCCAGCCGTAGTAACTCTCTCTACTTCTCCAAGACTAATCAGCTCACAGTCCACGGCGCCCTTACACCGCTGGATGGAGGCTCCTAGACCTCGGAACTCGAGAGCTCAATCGGCGCTCGTCCGCTCTCAACGAAGCGCGAAGTATCTCTGAGCGCCTGGCGCTCTGCAGGCGGCGGGCTAGGTCTCCCGGTTACGTCACAGACCCAGAAACGTGTTCTGATTGGTCAGTGAAATCATGTGACCTCAGCCAGCCAATCACCGACCGGCGGGCGCCGTATACAAAATGGTGGATTTGCAGGCCAGGGAGCGCCATTTTGTTGTACCCAGGGCGCGACTTTCCCACTTCCCTGCAACTTTACAAATGCAAATTTATCCCCAAATAAGCAACCATTTTGGAAGCCTCATACTTCAAAAGATTCCCTGCACCTCAGAGAACCTGCAGGTAAGCTGATATGACCGTTACAGCTGGCATATTTCCAGGATATATTATTCTGGGATGGATAACAATCTTTATCCATTAATCCAAAGGTTTCACTGATGAATCCTTTGAGATGATGGTTCACTGATTACATCTCACTTCTTCTTGGTGTCTTCATCATTACAATTACTGGTATTATCATCATTATCATTATCATGTAGTCATTATAAACGTAATTAAGCCTCGATGACTTCTAAACTTTAAAAAATAATTAGATATTTCCTAAGGAAAGTACTGAATGTCTTAAAGTTTTAATGAAGTCATCATTCACCCTAGAGATGAAAGCTGATTGGCTGGTCGAGTCATTACGTAATCATCAAGTCATCAAAAGTTATCTCATTAATTAGGGTCAAAAAGGTTCAATAATTCACTGTGGGATCATTCAGGTTACGGCTTCCCAAACTTGTTCCGCTTCATTACCCAACCCAAAACACCTTATCAAAAGACGCCTTTTTTTTTTAACCCAATATTGAATTTTAAATGTTAAATATTTTATTTTAGGAACCACAAAATTAATTTGATAATTGTTCGCGATGAATGTTTCATTCCATTCATTTCATTCATTTCATTCATTCATTCATTCAAGAGTGACATTTCTCTCATGTTCGGCTCATGAGAGAAATGTCACTCTTCTAACTCATTAACGACGATTCATCAAAGCCCCCCCCCCCAACTACCCCCAGGATATTCATCACGGCCTTTTTTTTTAACTTCAAGTGTTTGACCTAACCTTTTCTTTTTAAAATTTTTGAGCGCTTGACCTTACTCTCGATCATACACCCTGCAAAGCCATTAACACTCATCTGGTGACCTCAGTCAAGTTCAGTCAAGTTCAGTCAAGTTACACATAATTGGGTGTTCAATTCGCTGATCAGGGAGCAGGTCGGCCGAGCGGACAGCACGCTGGACTTGTGATCCTGTGGTCCTGGGTTTGATCCCGGGTGCCGGCTAGAAACAATGGGCAAAAGTTTCTTTCACCCTATGCCCCTGTTACCTAGCAGTAAAATAGGTACCTGGGTGTTAGTCAGTTGTCACGGGCTGTTTCCCGGTGGTAGAGGCCTGGTCTAGGACCGGGCCGCGGGGTCACTAAAGCCCCGAAATCATCTCAAGATAACCTCAAGAAGAAGATCTTAAGATAAGATCAATCGACCGACCTTCTATATAGTTTTATACTTTTATATAGTGTATATATCTTTTATAGTTAAGACGAGTATATTCCTCGCCACGATGGAATAGTTTGAGTTGAGTGATTGCGTCGTTCTTAAGCAGTTCTTGAGTCGTTCTTGAGTCGTTCTTGAGTCGTCCTTGAGTCGTCCTTAAGTCGTTCTTGAGTCGTCCTTGAGTCGTCCTTGAGTCGTTCTTGAGTCGTCCTTGAGTCGTCCTTTAGTCGTTCTTGAGTCGTTCTTGAGTCGTCCTTGAGTCGTTCTTGAGTCGTCCTTGAGTCGTTCTTGAGTCGTTCTTGAGTCGTCCTTGAGTCGTTCTTGAGTCGTCCTTGAGTCGTTCTTGAGTCGTTCTTGAGTCGTCCTTAAGTCATTCTTGAGTCGTCCTTGAATCGTTCTTGAGTCGTCCTTGAGTCGTTCTTGAGTCGTTCTTGAGTCGTTCTTGAGTCGTCCTTGAGTCGTCCTTGAGTCGTCCTTGAGTCGTTCTTGAGTCGTCCTTGAGTCGTTCTTGAGTCGTTCTTGAGTCGTTCTTGAGTCGTCCTTAAGTCATTCTTGAGTCGTCCTTGAATCGTTCTTGAGTCGTCCTTGAGTCGTTCTTGAGTCGTTCTTGAGTCGTCCTTGAGTCGTTCTTGAGTCGTCCTTGAATCGTTCTTGAGTCGTCCTTGAGTCGTTCTTGAGTCGTTCTTGAGTCGTCCTTGAGTCGTTCTTGAGTCGTCCTTAAGTCGTTCTTGAGTCGTCCTTGAATCGTTCTTGAGTCGTCCTTGAGTCGTCCTTGAGTCGTCCTTGAGTCGTTCTTGAGTCGTTCTTGAGTCGTTCTTGAGTCGTTCTTGAGTCGTCCTTGAGTCGTTCTTGAGTCGTCCTTAAGTCGTTCTTGAGTCGTCCTTGAATCGTTCTTGAGTCGTCCTTAAGTCGTCCTTGAGTCGTCCTTGAGTCGTTCTTGAGTCGTTCTTGAGTCGTCCTTGAGTCGTTCTTGAGTCGTCCTTGAGTCGTTCTTGAGTCGTTCTTGAGTCGTCCTTGAGTCGTTCTTGAGTCGTCCTTGAGTCGTCCTTAAGTCGTTCTTGAGTCGTCCTTGAGTCGTTCTTGAGTCGTCCTTGAGTCGTCCTTGAGTCGTTCTTGAGTCGTCCTTGAGTCGTTCTTGAGTCGTTTTTGAGTCGTTCTTGAGTCGTTCTTGAGTCGTTCTTGAGTCGTCATTGAGTCGTCCTTGAGTCGTTCTTGAGTCGTTTTTGAGTCGTTCTTGAGTCGTTCTTGAGTCGTTCTTGAGTCGTTCTTGAGTCGTCCTTGAGTCGTTCTTGAGTCGTCCTTGAGTCGTTCTTGAGTCGTTCTTGAGTCGTCCTTGAGTCGTTCTTGAGTCGTCCTTGAGTCGTTCTTGAGTCGTTCTTGAGTCGTCCTTGAGTCGTTCTTGAGTCGTCCTTGAGTCGTCCTTGAGTCGTCCTTAAGTCGTCCTTGAGTCGTCCTTGAGTCGTCCTTGAGTCGTCCTTGAGTCGTTCTTGAGTCGTCCTTGAGTCGTTCTTGAGTCGTCCTTGAGTCGTCATTGAGTCGTCCTTGAGTCGTTCTTGAGTCGTTCTTGAGTCGTTCTTGAGTCGTCCTTGAGTCGTCCTTGAGTCGTTCCCTGCAAGCGGCGCCATCCACACTCTCCAAGAAGCAAAAAAGGATAGACAAGAATGCAATTTCATGTTGCTTAGTCTCTTTCTTTTCTGTCCTGGAAACGCGGTTTTATTTTCATTTTATTCACTTGCAATAATCCTATTTTCTTTTTCTATTTTTTTCCTTGAAGTTGCAGATTAAGTGCATTCATGTGAGAGAAAATATCAACTAAATACCTTAGCTGATCTAACCTCTTGGTGGAAATTCTTTCAATGAAAGCATAGAGTACATCTTTTCTATCAATGAAAACATAGAGTACATCTTTTCTATCAATGAAAGCATAGAGTACATCTTTTCTATCAATGACATCATAGAGTACATCTTTTCTATCAATGAAAGCATAGAGTACATCTTTTCTATCAATGAAAACATAGAGTACATCTTTTCTATCAATGAAAGCATAGAGTACATCTTTTCTATCAATGACAGCATAGAGTACATCTTTTCTATCAATGAAAGCATAGAGTACATCTTTTCTATCAATGAAAGCATAGAGTACATCTTTTCTATCAATGAAAGCATAGAGTACATCTTTTCTATCAATGAAAGCATAGAGTACATCTTTTCTATCAATGAAAGCATAGAGTACATCTTTTCTATCAATGACATCATAGAGTACATCTTTTCTATCAATGAAAGCATAGAGTACATCTTTTCTATCAATGAAAGCATAGAGTACATCTTTTCTATCAATGACATCATAGAGTACATCTTTTCTATCAATGAAAGCATAGAGTACATCTTTTCTATCAATGACATCATAGAGTACATCTTTTCTATCAATGAAAGCATAGAGTACATCTTTTCTATCAATGAAAGCATAGAGTACATCTTTTCTATCAATGACATCATAGAGTACATCTTTTCTATCAATGAAAGCATAGAGTACATCTTTTCTATCAATGAAAGCATAGAGTACATCTTTTCTATCAATGACATCATAGAGTCCATCTTTTCTATCAATGAAAGCATAGAGTACATCTTTTCTATCAATGACATCATAGAGTACATCTTTTCTATCAATGAAAGCATAGAGTACATCTTTTCTATCAATGAAAGCATAGAGTACATCTTTTCTATCAATGACATCATAGAGTACATCTTTTCTATCCACAACAACAACAAACTATTTCGGTTTCAGTCCTCGACTCCTAAAAGTGACCGAGGACAAACCGTGTTTTTTAGCAGCCGACGGGACAGCGCTTAGACATTAAGGTTCTTATACAAGGAGCCGGCGTCGACACACAAGGATGTGTAGTGTCTCACCGTATGTATAGCGTATGTATGTATGTATACCGTCTCACCTTGTAGAAGGTCACTGTGGTAAATGTCGGTATTCGTGGCTTATTCTCTAGTCCATTCTAGTCTAGAGTGATATACATACCTGACACATATACGTGCCATGTATGGTAATACATGACACTGGGCCAGCGTGATACATACGGATACACCGCCAGTATACCCACCCACACAGCAAACTACTCCGAGACTAAAGTTTACAACTCATTACCGGTGTATATTGAAGGGAAGGGGGGTACATTTCCTATTATCAGGGGAAAAGCGCCAAGCCATTATATCTATATATCACTTGGAAGGGGTCAGGATAAGGATTTGGGATGGGACGAGGGGGTAAGAGTGTGACCCGTCCTCAAACTAAGTCCATTCCATCCAGCGGTCGATCCCAACGACGAATTCATCAATTATAACATGCTGTTCATTCAATATTGAAATTTACTCACTTATAAATTTTGTTTTCTATATAAGTATAATGAGCATATATATAGGCATTGATTAGGTCAGGTGTTTAGGTTCTGTTGGCGATTATTTGTATTTGTAGTACGTGGGTGAAGCATTTA